TCAGGTGTTCCAGCTCCAGTCACTACTGTTGTATCCTCTGGTAGCCACACCGAAACTGATGTCATCTCTTTCTACACCACTACCGACTCTGAAGGTGAAGTCGTTACCACTTCTACCACCTACCCAGTCACCTCATCAGGTGTTCCAGCTCCAGTCACTACTGTTGTATCCTCTGGTAGCCACACCGAAACCGATGTCATCTCTTTCTACACCACTACCGACTCTGAAGGTGAAGTCGTTACCACTTCTACCACCTACCCAGTCACCTCATCAGGTGTTCCAGCTCCAGTCACTACTGTTGTATCCTCTGGTAGCTACACCGAAACCGACGTCATCTCTTTCTACACCACTACCGACTCTGAAGGTGAAGTCGTTACCACTTCTACCACCTACCCAGTCACCTCATCAGGTGTTCCAGCTCCAGTCACTACTGTTGTATCCTCTGGTAGCCACACCGAAACCGACGTCATCTCTTTCTACACCACTACCGACTCTGAAGGTGAAGTCGTTACCACTTCTACCACCTACCCAGTCACCTCTTCTGGTGTTCCAGCTCCAGTCACTACTGTTGTATCCTCTGGTAGCCACACCGAAACCGATGTCATCTCTTTCTACACCACTACCGACTCTGAAGGTGAAGTCGTTACCACTTCTACCACCTACCCAGTCACCTCATCAGGTGTTCCAGCTCCAGTCACTACTGTTGTATCCTCTGGTAGCCACACCGAAACCGACGTCATCTCTTTCTACACCACTACCGACTCTGAAGGTGAAGTCGTTACCACTTCTACCACCTACCCAGTCACCTCTTCTGGTGTTCCAGCTCCAGTCACTACTGTTGTATCCTCTGGTAGCCACACCGAAACCGACGTCATCTCTTTCTACACCACTACCGACTCTGAAGGTGAAGTCGTTACCACTTCTACCACCTACCCAGTCACCTCTTCTGGTGTTCCAGCTCCAGTCACTACAGTTGTATCCTCTGGTAGCCACACCGAAACCGATGTCATCTCTTTCTACACCACTACCGACTCTGAAGGTGAAGTCGTTACCACTTCTACCACCTACCCAGTCACCTCTTCTGGTGTTCCAGCTCCAGTCACTACTGTTGTATCCTCTGGTAGCCACACCGAAACCGATGTCATCTCTTTCTACACCACTACCGACTCTGAAGGTGAAGTCGTTACCACTTCTACCACCTACCCAGTCACCTCATCAGGTGTTCCAGCTCCAGTCACTACTGTTGTATCCTCTGGTAGCCACACCGAAACCGATGTCATCTCTTTCTACACCACTACCGACTCTGAAGGTGAAGTCGTTACCACTTCTACCACCTACCCAGTCACCTCTTCTGGTGTTCCAGCTCCAGTCACTACTGTTGTATCCTCTGGTAGCCACACCGAAACCGACGTCATCTCTTTCTACACCACTACCGACTCTGAAGGTGAAGTCGTTACCACTTCTACCACCTACCCAGTCACCTCATCAGGTGTTCCAGCTCCAGTCACTACTGTTGTATCCTCTGGTAGCCACACCGAAACCGACGTCATCTCTTTCTACACCACTACCGACTCTGAAGGTGAAGTCGTTACCACTTCTACCACCTACCCAGTCACCTCTTCTGGTGTTCCAGCTCCAGTCACTACAGTTGTATCCTCTGGTAGCCACACCGAAACCGATGTCATCTCTTTCTACACCACTACCGACTCTGAAGGTGAAGTCGTTACCACTTCTACCACCTACCCAGTCACCTCTTCTGGTGTTCCAGCTCCAGTCACTACTGTTGTATCCTCTGGTAGCCACACCGAAACCGATGTCATCTCTTTCTACACCACTACCGACTCTGAAGGTGAAGTCGTTACCACTTCTACCACCTACCCAGTCACCTCTTCTGGTGTTCCAGCTCCAGTCACTACAGTTGTATCCTCTGGTAGCCACACCGAAACCGATGTCATCTCTTTCTACACCACTACCGACTCTGAAGGTGAAGTCGTTACCACTTCTACCACCTACCCAGTCACCTCATCAGGTGTTCCAGCTCCAGTCACTACTGTTGTATCCTCTGGTAGCCACACCGAAACCGATGTCATCTCTTTCTACACCACTACCGACTCTGAAGGTGAAGTCGTTACCACTTCTACCACCTACCCAGTCACCTCTTCTGGTGTTCCAGCTCCAGTCACTACTGTTGTATCCTCTGGTAGCCACACCGAAACCGACGTCATCTCTTTCTACACCACTACCGACTCTGAAGGTGAAGTCGTTACCACTTCTACCACCTACCCAGTCACCTCATCAGGTGTTCCAGCTCCAGTCACTACTGTTGTATCCTCTGGTAGCCACACCGAAACTGATGTCATCTCTTTCTACACCACTACCGACTCTGAAGGTGAAGTCGTTACCACTTCTACCACCTACCCAGTCACCTCTTCTGGTGTTCCAGCTCCAGTCACTACTGTCGTATCCTCTGGTAGCCACACCGAAACCGACGTCATCTCTTTCTACACCACTACCGACTCTGAAGGTGAAGTCGTTACCACTTCTACCACCTACCCAGTCACCTCTTCTGGTGTTCCAGCTCCAGTCACTACTGTTGTATCCTCTGGTAGCCACACCGAAACCGATGTCATCTCTTTCTACACCACTACCGACTCTGAAGGTGAAGTCGTTACCACTTCTACCACCTACCCAGTCACCTCTTCTGGTGTTCCAGCTCCAGTCACTACTGTTGTATCCTCTGGTAGCCACACCGAAACCGATGTCATCTCTTTCTACACCACTACCGACTCTGAAGGTGAAGTCGTTACCACTTCTACCACCTACCCAGTCACCTCATCAGGTGTTCCAGCTCCAGTCACTACTGTTGTATCCTCTGGTAGCCACACCGAAACTGATGTCATCTCTTTCTACACCACTACCGACTCTGAAGGTGAAGTCGTTACCACTTCTACCACCTACCCAGTCACCTCTTCTGGTGTTCCAGCTCCAGTCACTACTGTCGTATCCTCTGGTAGCCACACCGAAACCGATGTCATCTCTTTCTACACCACTACCGACTCTGAAGGTGAAGTCGTTACCACTTCTACCACCTACCCAGTCACCTCTTCTGGTGTTCCAGCTCCAGTCACTACAGTTGTATCCTCTGGTAGCCACACCGAAACCGATGTCATCTCTTTCTACACCACTACCGACTCTGAAGGTGAAGTCGTTACCACTTCTACCACCTACCCAGTCACCTCATCAGGTGTTCCAGCTCCAGTCACTACTGTTGTATCCTCTGGTAGCCACACCGAAACCGATGTCATCTCTTTCTACACCACTACCGACTCTGAAGGTGAAGTCGTTACCACTTCTACCACCTACCCAGTCACCTCATCAGGTGTTCCAGCTCCAGTCACTACTGTTGTATCCTCTGGTAGCCACACCGAAACCGATGTCATCTCTTTCTACACCACTACCGACTCTGAAGGTGAAGTCGTTACCACTTCTACCACCTACCCAGTCACCTCTTCTGGTGTTCCAGCTCCAGTCACTACTGTTGTATCCTCTGGTAGCCACACCGAAACCGACGTCATCTCTTTCTACACCACTACCGACTCTGAAGGTGAAGTCGTTACCACTTCTACCACCTACCCAGTCACCTCATCAGGTGTTCCAGCTCCAGTCACTACTGTTGTATCCTCTGGTAGCCACACCGAAACCGACGTCATCTCTTTCTACACCACTACCGACTCTGAAGGTGAAGTCGTTACCACTTCTACCACCTACCCAGTCACCTCTTCTGGTGTTCCAGCTCCAGTCACTACTGTTGTATCCTCTGGTAGCCACACCGAAACCGATGTCATCTCTTTCTACACCACTACCGACTCTGAAGGTGAAGTCGTTACCACTTCTACCACCTACCCAGTCACCTCATCAGGTGTTCCAGCTCCAGTCACTACTGTTGTATCCTCTGGTAGCCACACCGAAACCGATGTCATCTCTTTCTACACCACTACCGACTCTGAAGGTGAAGTCGTTACCACTTCTACCACCTACCCAGTCACCTCTTCTGGTGTTCCAGCTCCAGTCACTACAGTTGTATCCTCTGGTAGCCACACCGAAACCGATGTCATCTCTTTCTACACCACTACCGACTCTGAAGGTGAAGTCGTTACCACTTCTACCACCTACCCAGTCACCTCATCAGGTGTTCCAGCTCCAGTCACTACAGTTGTATCCTCTGGTAGCCACACCGAAACCGATGTCATCTCTTTCTACACCACTACCGACTCTGAAGGTGAAGTCGTTACCACTTCTACCACCTACCCAGTCACCTCATCAGGTGTTCCAGCTCCAGTCACTACTGTTGTATCCTCTGGTAGCCACACCGAAACCGATGTCATCTCTTTCTACACCACTACCGACTCTGAAGGTGAAGTCGTTACCACTTCTACCACCTACCCAGTCACCTCTTCTGGTGTTCCAGCTCCAGTCACTACTGTTGTATCCTCTGGTAGCCACACCGAAACCGACGTCATCTCTTTCTACACCACTACCGACTCTGAAGGTGAAGTCGTTACCACTTCTACCACCTACCCAGTCACCTCATCAGGTGTTCCAGCTCCAGTCACTACTGTTGTATCCTCTGGTAGCCACACCGAAACCGACGTCATCTCTTTCTACACCACTACCGACTCTGAAGGTGAAGTCGTTACCACTTCTACCACCTACCCAGTCACCTCATCAGGTGTTCCAGCTCCAGTCACTACAGTTGTATCCTCTGGTAGCCACACCGAAACCGATGTCATCTCTTTTACACCA